AAAATTTATAAATTAAAGTTTTATATTTTAATTTTGTAGTGAAAAATTTTAGTGATAAATGTTTCTCCAAAAAATATTTATATTAATTTTAATCCAATTAAAATATTTGCTGGCTAATTATGAGAATTACTATCTGGATGACGCCATTCTTTGTCGTCGCAATACAACACTCATAACCTTTGGTCAACACTCGTATAAGTCAGCGATCATTGTTAGTGCCGTCCAGTCGTCCGGTGCTTACAGACCTTCCCTTAGATGTAGTCTTTTGGTGAAAGTGCCGCCAAATTATGGCATTAATGTTATTAAACGAATGGTAATTTTAATTTATCAATAATTTTTATGTTATAGATATTAGTAATTCATTAATTTAAGAAACTAAATTAACTATTATTTTGATATAATGAATATTTAATATTTATAGAGTTAATGGCATTAATAATATTTATACATATATAATTATTTATAGAGTTAGAATCCTAATTTTAAAAGAGTAAATAAATTAAGATAAATTTATATTAATTTTAACAATTAAAATATTGTACTGTATTCATTTACTCTATAGTAATTTTTAAATGAAATTTAATTATTACTTTTTTGGTCACAGTTATCTATCACAATAATTTTGGTTATATTTAAACATTTAATATAATTGAAATGATATAAAATCCTTTCAGATAAATCTGAGGACAAACCTGAGTCCAGAAAATCACTCAAACAAAAGGGTCACAAACTTTACGCCAAAAGACGAACTCATCATAAGTTTGGACCGAAATTCTGTGAAATCCTTTACCGGCGAAGACTACGACGAAACGGTGTACTCGAGTGACAAGAATGAGGTTTTGCTCACATTTATCACCTCTTCGTCCAAAAACGCAACGTTTGGAAAAAACTTTGAACTCATTTTCACGGCATTCATGTTCACCTCAAGCAGCAATGGGTGCGACGATCACAACGATTGGTTCAATTGCGGTGACAAACGGTGTGTCCAAAAGAGTCTCATTTGCGATAACATCAGTAATTGTGTGGCGGCTCAAGACGAGAGCGACAACTTGTGTGGGAAGTGGTGCTCAAAGCACCGGCAGGTGTTTTGGATGCTTTTCATCGTGGGCTGGGCTATCAGTACGTTCTTCATTATCCTTACGCTCATTGTTTGTCTTATTTATCGCAGACTTTGTTATGTAATCTGTTTTTAATAATAAAACATTTGATATATATTTAAATAAATGTTTCAATATTTCATTTGCATTTCAATTTGTCATCATAATCAATTTCATTTTTATTTATTTGTTTGCATGTCATTTATATTGCACAAATACTTGGAAATAAAGCATATGTGAATGAACTAGCTAAAAATAAACATTGATTAATTGATTATCAAAGTATTTATTGTAATAGATTATAGATAAAAACGGTGTTAAACATTGTATAATATTCTCACACAAAATATTTATAATTATAAAACAATTATTGTATTCAACTGTTGAGAATCGATGATCAGGTAAGCAATTCACAAAATTCCGTGCAAAACCTAATCTTTATCTCATATGCAGTGAATTGAACTGTATTTGAGTGAAATTAATTGAAAGTTTCATCAAAAACCGACTGACAATTGGAAGCAATTATTTTATTAATTAATTGTTTTTTAGTTACA